AAGTTTATTTGGCATTGCCCGAATTAAAAGGCTAAGGCCATTCCAAGTTAAAAACACTCGGGGGCATGAAACTTATTTGGCATTGCCCGGATTAAAAGGCTAAGTCCGTTCCGAGTTAATAACACTCGAGGGCATGAAGCTTATTTGGCATTGCCGAATTAAAAGGCTAAGGCCGTTCCGAGTTAATAATACTCGAGGGAACAAAAGCTTATTTGGCAGCGCCCGAACTAAAAAGGCTACGACCATACTAATATGGGTCGGAGACGTCCGAGACTCGTAACAAAAATAAGGCCCTTGAAAGTCTCTCATAACCGGTTTTAAAAGATATCCTTGACAAGCTATGAACCTAAATTATTATTGGGAAAAAGTTTTCGGTAACACCGAATCCCTACAATGCCTTAACACAAAGTAAAGGCAAGGTTTGTTCGAACCTTCGAACATAAACTAATCATTTCATGCTAAGGCATTTCGACCTTTGCGAATACAAATAAAGCAAAGGAAAGATTCAAAAACTATGAAAAGGAAAAACCTTATATATATATCAAAAATTTCTTTACAATGGCTGAATAGCCCCGGTTAATAATTTTTACAAAAGGCCGAACGACCTCAACAAAATATAGTAAAAAAGGTAAAAAGACCCTAAATGGCCTAATCTTCATTGGGGGCTGCATCATCGCCTATAGGGTCTTCGCCACCATCGGACCCACCCGACTCTTCAGACCCCTCGGAATACTCTTCGGGATAAGCCAACTTATGGGCCTTGACTTCGCATATCTTGGCATTCTCGATTTCAGCCAATATGTCAAAACTCTAAGCATGGACTCCCTCGAGGGTCTCCCTTCTGGATTGCCACCTCGCATGCTTCACCATGTTTTTCGCTTGTTCTTGAATGGCCTCGGCATCGGCCTTGAACTGAGCCACTTTATCATCGGCCTCGGTCTTGGTCACAACGACCTCTAACTTGGCCGCCTTAAGCTCCTTGGTCAGGGTCTCTTAACCAAAAACAACCGAAGCCAACTAAGAATGGAGTCCCTCGATCGTATTGGCCTACACCAGATATTTCTACTTTATAGCCCGAAACTGAACCTCAGCCGAAGCTAACTGCGCCCGGGCAGTCTCTTTTTCCGAAACCAGGCGGTCCATATTTTTCTTCCATTCTTCGGCCTCAGCCTTCACCATGTCCACCTCCACTTGGAGCTTCCCGATCTGGTCAAGCCTCTTTTGAATATGTGGGTTCGAGACGTTAGCCAATGTGTCTGAATCATCATCACTAAGTTTGAATATTCCTATTAGCTGCTCGACCAAACCGGCATGCTCCTTCTGAGCCGTTTCTAACTCGGCATGGAGCTTCTCACTAAGAAGCTTGTAAGCATCTTTCTTCTCGGCAAGCTCCCGAGTCTCGGCCTCGTGACGCTTGAACTCTTCCCGATATTGGAGAAAGGCCTCGTGATGAAGCACCGAGGCCTGCAAGCATAAAGGAAAATGTTAGGATTATTCATTATTGAATCTAAGTATATAATAAAAGGACATTCAAAAATTACCCGATTCAGCGCATATTAAGTTTCGTTGAACAGGCAGGGCGCTTTCACCTCGTTCATTCTAGCTTGATCATCTTCAATCACCCAGCACCGAAGGTAACTAGCAATCCCCACCAGGGCAGAGAGAACACGGGCGTCCTTCAGAATGGACATAAAAATTGCACGTCTCCGAGTAGGATCAATACTCGGAACGGGGAAATGATTCACTAATTTTGGGCTTGAAGAAGGCCCGCCAGCTCCCGGGGACGGTATCTTCCTTGGTATCAGTAAGTCGCCCAAACTGGTGACATCCTCCGAAGCAGTAGAATCCAGACCGTCAAACAATTGTGGAAAGAATCGGCTGCTCCTTGGGCCCCTTCGCCGATGTTACCTTTCAACGCATGAGCCTCGTTTATCATAGAATTGGTAAACGAAGGCGACCCAGGTAGATCAATCACCCCAAGAGCCTCTGTAGGCACATTATTTTCTGACCGAGATGTACCGATCACAGTTTCTTTTATGGCCTCGCTGGCTCGGGGCAAATCGGTCTCGACCCTTCCTGGCTCGGAAACTTCAGCCACTGCTTCTTCTACGGCCTCCATGGCTTGAGGCATTTCGGAACCGCTTCTCACGCGGGCCACCAACTCAGAATCTTCTTCTTATTCGGACTCATCCCTTAACCATTGAAGTGAGTAGGATGAGAGTTCTCGGGAGCTGGCATTCTTAGGTTTGCGCGCCAACCACTTCCTCGGTCTCTTCTTTTCAGGGATCGAGTGATTAAGAGCTTTTCTTATTTTCTTTTCTTTATCCTGCTTCGGAGTAGGGGGATCGGCATATATGTCATCATCGACTGATGGAGGCCTCATTTCAACGTCTTTTGGTAGACCTACAAAGAGAAAATAAAAATATTCAGAGATCAATGATGTGAAAGTAAGATCAAATATAACTTAGAGAAGAAATTCTCACCATGATTACGGGCCTCCCATCGGCCCTTCGAGAGATCACGCCATAAGCGCTCGAAATAAGGTCTCTGTGTCACAATGCCCTCGACCCACTCATTGAGTCGAGGAACAACATCCGGCATCTGGGCAGCAACTGCATCATCACATAACATCGATGAGAAGGGATGAAAAAGAAAAGCAATAAAAGAAATCTTGAAGGCAAAGTTATACTTACGTTTCATATTCCATTTCTCATGAAATGGCATATCCGCAACCGGGATCAAGTCCGAGGTCCTCACTCGAACGAATCGGCCCAACCAGCCCCGGTCCCAATCCTCGTCGATACTCGAGAATATGGCCTTAGTGGCTCGATGTGGTAGCTTGATTAATCCCCCTTCGGTAAAGTTGAGGGTTGTACAGGCGCATGAGGTGGTCGATAGTAAATGGACACCCCTCGATTTTGCTCACGAAGAAACATAGAAAAATTACAATTATCCAGCACGAGGAGTGAATATGCCCGAGAGTTACCTCGTACCTTTTGCAAAAGGCTATGATGACTGGGTCTAAGGGACCCAGCGTGAAAGGGTAAGTATAAACACTTAGAAAACCCTCAACGTAGGTGGTGATCGATTCCTCGGGGGTAGGGATCACAACGAGTTTATCTTCCCAGTGACAGTCCTCTTTGACCTTATCGAGGATGCTGTGAGTAATAGTGCATATGTACCTCGAGACCGGCTCACACCGACCCAGTACCAAGGGGGTGTTATCGATCTTGAAGTCGGCCCCGGTTGGGCACCCCGAAGGGACAAACGACTTTAGAGGGGGTTCCAGTGTTGGTTCCCTAGTAGCAACATGTGAAATATTTTCCGATGGTTTCGTGGAAGAAGGGGTTTCTTTTTTAGGAACAAATTTTGAAGTCTTTGCCATTTTTTCTAAATAGAGGAGAGAAGAAGATGTTGGTAAAAGAGGAGTTGTAACTAGCAGGTAACTTATCAAGAAAATTCAAAGAACTCACAAGGAAGGAAGTTCTTAAGCTTAAAACCAGAAAATCAGAAAACCAGAAAACCAGAAGATGAAGATGATGAAGTTCTCTTAAAATGCAAGGGCAAGAGTTGGAAAGGAAAAGGTTCTAATGAATGGATTGAAGGGTATTTATAGTGTTCCCAAACGGCTGTTCACATCACGACGGTTCACATCCCAAGATGGCCGACCGTTAAATGACACACATTTAATGCCTCAAAGACTAGACCGACGGGATGTTTCCACTATTCTTATCACTTACGTCATGAATTCATCGTCATGTTTTATCGAAGTAAGAATCGAAAGCTCGAATCGTTTCCCATCATTTGCTCTCTGAAAAGTAAGGGGATCTTGACGTCATATTTTTGTCACTTGCGTCATAATGAGAGTATGAGGCTCATATCGTTTCTCGTCATCTACTCTCCGAAAAATGAGGGGACTATCTGTATATGGGTAAAATCGAGCTCGGTGTTCGATCGAGCTTGAGAAATGGAGGGCCAAGGTCGGTACATCTGTAATAGGGTAAAAATTGAAGTCCGAGGTTCGATCTGACATCCAACATGGTCAACCGAGGGCGGAATATAGTACTCAAGGTGTAACCGGTCCTGTTTCTAACGGTCTCGAAGAAAGCTCTGCCAGCTCATCCGACAAGGGTCCGTGATTCTTGCCATTAACCGATCATTATGGCGGAAGTCACAGAACTAGTCAAAAAGGGAACCAACGGTCTTCAAAATCAAGGACTTATGTTTTTATAGTACAATTAAATAATACCCTAAAGGGCATGTCTCCCTCAATATATAAAGGGGACTTGACAATCCATGAAATACATTGTAACATACGCTCATAAGCAATACATTTTCCAAGCTCATACTCTTTGATATTTTTTCTGTCAATAAAGGTATATTCAACTCAAGAGTGACTGTCATTCTTAAATTGAAATCATCCAATTCCTGTGGTTTTGCAGTTTATTTTATCGCTATTTATTTCAATTACAATCTAATTTATCGCTTTGCATCAAGTTAATTCACATGTCCTTATAACCACTAACAAATTCAATTGTTATCCGATTTTTGAGGGTAAACATGCATGCATGTGTTTATTCATCAAATTACTCACGATCAGTGATACAGACTTTTTTTTTTTGCTATTAATTCTTTTTTATTACTAATATTATGAAGATGACAATATGACAGTGTAGTTAGTCTTTGGCTTTGGAGTAACTTGGCCAAACGCGCTATTAATCCGGAATATCCTCTCTATTCCTTTTTTAGAGTTATTGACCCTAATATATTACACAGAATAGTTGTACAATATTAAGTCCTATAAAAGCATAAAGCTAAAGCTAATTCCCCTGAAGATATTATTCTCTCCAAATATCACCCATTATATTACATCTTTCTTTAATTACAATGACCCGTTAAACTTTCTGGCTACCGAAACATAAAAAATAATCTTACGGCTCCCCGTCAACTTTCAAGAAAAAGTAAGTTTTAATCATTTACGTCATACAAATCTAGAAAAGTTAATGTAACAGAAAAGCTTAATATTAAACTGAAATAAAAGAGATTACAAGCTTGCAATCCTCAACTTAGGGAAAAACAAGGCCAGGAAACGATAAAACACAAAAGGAAGGCTACTGTCTCGTGGTTTCTTTCCTTTTATAGCTACAAACACTTGTAGTTTCAACCAGGCTTCCACTCACAATCTGCTAATCTTTTATTGCATTATCTAGCCTTGTTACTGCATCTGAATTTAGAGCAGGCCCGAGTTGATCTTCATGCTTCTCCGGGGCCAATTCTCGAGTAGAGTTCGTAACAATTGAAGTGATGAATAGTAATATGCAAAATTTCAGATCATTGTTCCTGTGAATAAGTAATACGAATGACATGAATTTCCCCAAGAATACAGGCTACCGCTTGATTTCACACTCCTCAAACGGGGAATTAATCAGTTCAGTAGAAAACAATCTAGTAGCTAGCACCCATAAAATTGTAAGAGAAACTATTAGGAGGAAGTCAGATAAAAAAGGAAAGCCCGTAGGTGGTAGCCCTTCCCCACCCTGACTGAAATTCCCAACTGTAAATTGACTGGCCTCGGCAGAACTGTTGGTGATTCAATAACCAGCAGGCCACTTCACTCTGACACTAGTATTTGAACCTGGTCCTCTGTTCATGTACTCACCATAAAGTGTCTTCAATGCAAAATCACCATTCCATTCCAACCATACAACAGACTCTATTAAACTGCCAATGTACGACTGAAGAAAGACAGTTCTCGAATATTCTTTCCAGGGACGTCCTAGACAACTCTTGAACGATGATTGTACAGGAATCAAATCCACAACAGCTTCCACTTTGCAGTTCAGGATTGAAATCCCAGTATTCTGCTTTGGATTTCTCTTCCTTGGGCACTGAACAGGTTTGGTATGCGAGAACGCTGCATTGGTCGAAAGCCGATAAGTCTGAGCTACTCAGAAGATCCACTGCTTGGTGCATGCTTGGTCCCGCATAGTTTTCAAAGGTGACGCCTTTTGCTAAGAATCCTTTCCCAACACGGCTGCATTAAAAGAGATTCATGAAATGTTAAAGAAAAGAACTTGAAGAACAAATACTGACTATCTCGATTCTTCTACTGTCGTCATTCACTTAAAAGTTTTTCGAAGTGATAATGTACAGGAAAATGTTAAGCAAAGACAATTAATTAAGAAAGAACATGCAGGAACCAAAGAGGATCTATTAATTGAGTGGGTAATGACGTAATGTTCCATTGAGCCTTTATTGTCTATCCTAAATGATTTGAATTGGTTTGGTCGGAGGAGACTGAAAACACCATTGTTGGATTTTATTGCGCTTGAAAAAGAAATTATTGAAGAAGACAAAGTGGATCTATTAATTTTTGAAGGTTTAGGTTGAATCTAATAATCGAAAATTGTCAGGGTTGGTATTAGATAGTTGTATATCAAATTTGAAGTCATTTGGATGAATTTTGAAGCAAAAATGTGATGATGAATTTTCTCACCGACATGTTGTGATGATCACCAGAATTTTGGCCACAAATCCTGATGAACCACAAGGATTTTCAGCACATAAGTTAAAACACCCACCAAATGTTAGTTTCCTTCTGTGCAGCAATCAAGAAGATAACTGTTACGCATAAGGTCACTATGGAAATCTATTAAGAACCTGACCTGCCAAGGAAAATGTAAAACTTAAAGGGAAGCCAACATACAAGGCAAGAAGAGGAAGAAAGAAAATAAGTACTTGTAACATTTTCTTTTCTAATGATTGAGAATGTACATTCTATTAACTAGTACATTTCAGCATCAAAATAAAAAATATAAGTTGACATTTTCTTTTTCTAATCAAAAGGAAACATCTTGACAAAGATTAACATTTGTTTTTAGAACAGCATTGCCATGCTTAGATTCCCTAGAGTAGAGAAAACTTGCATCAGGTCCTGGCTCCTCTCAAAAACCACTATATGTGGAGAGCTTTCCCTCATCGAAAAGCTGACCTGGACACTTCTAGATATGAAGATCTAGCCTACGTCCCACCCGTTTCTATTTTCTCTCTTGTATTCAAGCCATCAAGGGTAGTATAGATCCTCATCAACTAAGAATCTAGGCAGTGAGAGCACTTTACGTTAGTCAAGTCAAGGATCAAAATCAATTCTGCAACTCTCCTCCTTCCTGGTAAGAATCTTTCCGCGCATATTTCGCGTCATTCCAGAAAACAAAAATTGCAGTTAAAAGGAGTACATAACTAAGATGCTCATGTGAAATGTGAGATACAAGCATGCAGAATGATCCGTCTAACTGGCACAGCATAAGTACATAAAACAGAAGTATAGACATGGTTGTTTATAAAGCTAGAATTTATTCCTAGTATTACTCACAGTTTTGCAGCACTCAGGATTTTGCCAATTCAATCCATGCAACTCATTAAAAAAGCCATCGTCCTCCCCATGACATGTCATGCAAGCAGAGTTGTGCCAATTCAGTATGGCACATTATGCAACTTAAAATGGCCGTTATCTCATCAATAGAGGCATCTATCTGCAATCTATATCAAGCTGAAAGGATTTATTATAACTGACTATCCAACAAATAGCCCAAAAAAAAGAGGGAACGCCTTTATGTTATTTGCGTTAACAAATTACAGAAACGATGCATGTAAGGAACAACGTTCATAATTAAAGATATGAAGCCCTAATATGTCGAGCTAAGTACTCATAATCCAAAACCTACTTCTTTAGATCATGTCCTAATATGTAAATCCCTGTATTAGTTATGTGTCTTACTTTCCTTTCTAGTATGTTTCAAAAGAATGTCCAAAACATTTCATGTTTTCATCAAAACTCAGCCAATGTTTGTTAGATTCCTTAAGCACACTAGTAAAAACTAGAAGACGCATAGGTGTGTGATGTTCACATATTAGAAAGCCAAAATCATACAAATAACATGTATGACAACAAAAATACTACTGTGCAGCAACGATAAGCAGATTAGTGCACAGAATGGTTAAACACAGCAGTTGTTTCAAGTTTCACAGTAAGAAGCATTAATATGCCTTTCTACTGTGTTGAAAATGCCAGCTCTACCAAGGCTAGTGATACTAAAGTTAAAGAGCCAAAATTCCAAGCTATCTGGTATGCTAAAGATGTTCAAACAAGCAACTATGATACTGCTATCTAACAGGAAAGCGAGGTGTAAATAATCAATCACCAGTTCAAGAATAGGTCCTTAGTTAAGGGACACACTCCTTGTACTTAAAAGGCCTTATATAGCATGTGGACATAATTTCTACTCTTTTGAGGCCAAACTACCATTTCCGAAAGACACAAATCTGTTACTTTATATAAACTGTCCAGTTAGATTCCGTTAAAAAATTTAACAAAATACTCCGTAGTGAAACCTCAGGGCATCTCACCTATCCTTCCTGTCCTACTTATAACTTAGAATTCAAGAGCAGAAAACTTTTTCTGACCCAAAAAGAAATCATAACAAATTTCACCTGGAGCAACATCATAGGACTGCTGGAAAGTAACCAATGCAAGTGGAGATATACTTCTGTCCAGAAGGAAAGAAGAATGGAATAAAGGGCAGCGGATCTACGGAATTGAATGAGTTCGAAGATATACTATAAGGTCAATGTAGTGTTATGTATCTGATCCTCTCTATAATGCTAATGAAACTGAAGACTATATCTAGAATACATTTCAATTACACATTTGGTAAAGGTAAGATTGAACTCCTTAAATATTTCTCCCATTAAGGAAAGAGCACATCATTGCATACAATATGTTTCCCTAGAAAGACCAAACATCTGATTCAATTCATCAAATTGAAAACCTAATACTGTGTACATTGAGACAATTCTCTCTCCTTTCTTATTATTACCTGCTACTTATATTTAGTAGGTGTATAAAATATAGAAGTGCAGTCAGGTAACACTGAGAAGTCTAAAAGAATCAGTTCATATACAGCCAAAAGATAAAAAAAGAAAGAAAAGGAATTCCTAAGAAGTGAAACAATGGCAATCTATTCAGAACCTAACCTGTCAAGGAAAATGGAAAACTTAAAGGGAACCCAACATACAAGGCAAGAAAAAGAAAGAAAGAAAAAGAAGTACTTGTACCATATTCTTTTCGAAAGATTGAGAATGTAACATTCTATTATCTACTACTTCTCAGTGTCAAAACAAGGATATAAGTTGCTCTGACTTCTGGTACATTTTCTTTTCTAATCAGAAGGAGACATCTTGACAAAGATTAACATTTGTTTTGCTAAGAATAGCATCGCCCATGCTTAGATTCCCTAGAGTACGGAAAACTTGCACTAGGTCCTGGCTCCTCTCAAAACACTATATATGTAGAAAACTTTCCCTCATCGAAAAGCTAGCCTGGGCATTTCTAGATATGAAGATCTAGCCTACTTCCTTTCTGTCTCTCTTCCCTCTCTTCTATTCAATGGTAGTACAGATCCTCATCAACCAAGAATCTAGAAAGTGAGAGCATTTTAGGCTAGTCAAGTCAAGGATCAAAATCAATTCTGCAACTCTCCCTCCTTCCTGGTAAGAAACTTTCCACACATATTTTGTGCCATTCCAGAAAACGAAAATTGCAGTTAAAAGGAGTACATAACAAGATGCTTATGTGAAATGTGAGATAAGATATATATGGCAGGGTTGGTGCATGTTCCTAAACCAGAATGGATGCACTGACAATGCTACTTACAAAGCTGGCAGGGGCAATCTGGAGAACAATTTTTTTAAAGTATGCATTGGGCAGATTTAGCTTGAAAGAACCCGTAGATGCTTCGGGGGAAAGTAGAACACTTATCTTTTGCAAAGTGTCTCTTGCAAAAAGTATAGAATTTGTACTGGAATTCATTGATTCCGTATATAATTGAGGGTTGGTGCATCTTCCTAAACCACAATGGATGCACTGGTGATGCTACATAGACAGCTGGCAGGGGCAAATCTGGAGAACAATTTTTTTCAAGTATATGCTGGGAAGTTTTAGCTTGAAATAACTTTTAGAAGCTTCAAAGGAAAGTAGAAGACTTATCTTTTGTACACTATGAATGTTTAAATAATTTGACTATTAGACTATTAGTGCATTGCAAATAATATAGAATTTGTACCGAAGCTCATTGATCTGATACATAATTGAGGGATCAAATCCAGATAATTTCATTCCTATACAGTTCCTCCTAGGTGTTGTTAATAAGATTACTTATCAAAAAGTCAATCAAAATAAATCTAATAATGCAACAAAAAGCTGAACTGTGTAAAGCAAATAGCATATAGAATTCTTATTGAACAACTTTGGAAATGTATCAGATGAAAGTATTGTTACCATTTGATCTCGGGCTCCATAACACCATCAAGCAAAATATTTTATAGGTAGATAATGGTCCTTCCTGAGTGAGATATAAGTGTGTGTTACAACTGAAGCCTGGATCCAACCTGCTTCATCCTCCCAACTCTAAGTTAATAACATTTTAAACCTGCGCCGTGTATGTCTTTATTATAAAATTCTCCCTACTACAACTACAATGACATACTGGAAAGAGATTGAATGTAGGAGGGGAATCAAATGAAGGGTTAATATTTGCAAACTAAATATCATAAGCCATCTAGAGAAAGCACAATTAGAATTGATTAAATAGGATAACATTCATACATCATCCACCATCCATTAGCCACAATTACAAGATTAGAAGATTACATTGAAGGAAAATAAATAGATCAACTTAACTTTAGAATGATAATTTGGAAATAATAATAAATAAGCATACTATAATTCATGAGCGGAGACGAGTGAAATCACATTATCTGAATGACGGTATGACCCAAGTTGGCGGGCAAATACGACTTAGTGATAATCCAGGATAAAAAGATTCGATTTTTCCATCTTCAAGATCGTAAGCTCCCATATCCCTTCCACCACCACCTTTCACGTAGTTAAATTCCTCAACCCAATCATCAGTAAAATATATGTGATTAGGCTTGACTCCTTTAAACTTCGAAGAGTCAATAGAACTTGCTCCATTACGGCCCAAAAAAATTGTTGAATCTCCCAAGTCGTTGATGTCCCTCAATTCACGTTTTATTACATCTAGTTCAGATAGTTTAAATTTAAAAGTATCATAACCATCTTCTTCTTCATTATGATGGGCAAACCGGGTAACAAGTAATAGTGCACCTTGCAACTCAACTAGATAGAACTGGACTGACGCTTCATCAAAGATCTTATCTTTAAGCCGTACAAGAAAGTGCGACTTTACAATTGGTTGAGCAATACTAGGCCCTGCAACGTCAAAAACCCTAACTTCACCAGTGTAAAAGACAGCAAAAAATTGACCCTTATAATAATTCATAGTAGCGACTGCGCCCCCGAAATTTCTAGTGTCAATATTAGTCCAGTTGAGGTCTCCAGGTCGCCAAAAAGCCAAGCAGTTACTAAAATTAAAATAGGAAATCACCAGTACATAATCTGATGTATGAGAAGGATTGGCAGATAAGATAGCTTTGTCTATACAGCGATAGATTTGTCCTTTAGGTACTTCGTCGAGACCCTCAAAATCACTTAAGGCTTGTCGTGAAGGAAGTTGAATTTGGTTACGGGAGAAAGGATGCAACAAGTTAAACTCACCATTACATGACATGGTAAACAGCCACCCCTCTGATAGAAAACACTCTCGCCCTCTAGCTTCTGGGAGAAATATGCGTGAAACTTTTTCCTTGGACAGAGAGTAAAATTCTCGATAATCATCATCTCTATCAGCCAGCATAAGCAACGGAAGTTGGGGAGAAAGCAAATCAAAATTATCCTTAGTGGCAGCAGTTCGACATGAGGTACAAACAGCACCAAAAGCAATGAAATCTTCCATCACTTTAATACGCTTTGCGATCACAGGAATGAGATCGTGCGGCAATTCTGCCCAGCTCGCCATGGATGGAAGAGGAGCAAGAATATCAAGAGGAGGATTGTGTAGGCTAGAAACAGTTCGGGGCATTTATGTAGGCGTGTAACTTCTTCCTATATTGACAAGGATTTGGAATTCCAGTACGACAAGCCCGAGATATTTGGACTTAAATCGTAGAACTAGTTCTGAGTTCATTTGGACTTTAAATACTGGCCCAAAAGTCTAGTATGGACATGTGTGCTACGGCCCATATATTATCATTCAAATTAGCAAATTTATTCTTAACAGCATAATTTAGATAGATGAGATAATTTTGTCATTGCTAGGAGCCAGGACTTCTTTCCCATAATAGCGCAGAAAAAAAATAGAATTATCCAATAAGTTTGATACCATAGAAATTTATCAAAATAAAAATAAAAGTGATTTTTTATTTGAGTGCTGCCCCCTGTCGATCCTATTTTGATATTGATTTGCTTTTACAGAACATTAATATTTAGCTAGTTAAGAAGTTGAATTTAGGCCAGCCAAAAGTTTCAGCTACAGTAGGAATGTAATAATGAGCAGAAATGCAATCAATGCCATGGACTATGCTACCGTAGAGTACTTTTACAAAAGTCTGAATAGAATGATACTATCACTGTTTTGTGTGCCTCTCGTTAATCGTTATATTTATGTAAATTTTAACTTTGGTTTTTTGCGAAGAGTAAATTATGCTATATACCTATTCTACCCAAAAATATTATCCGGCTTTATTTATTCTAGAAATAATTACAGTATATACCTATGCAATCAAAAATAATTATCTGGACATCTATCTTCCTATTTTTGTTTTATCTGCAGCTAACTTTTCTCCTCTCTTTTTCTTTCATCCCAAATCATTTTTCTCTCTCTTTCTCTTTCTTCCCTTTCTGACGTTGCCAGTATCCCTATATTTTTTAAGTGGATGTATGATCTATCCATCTTTCCTTTCATGTCTTTATCATCCATCCCAGGAAAATAAAAAGCTAAAAAAAATCTATCAAAAAAGAATAAAAAATTCTAAGGTTGTATAGGTAGTCATTATTTGTAACGACCCGACCGATTGTTTTGTGTATTTGTGCCTCCTTTCCCTTTTTGATGCTTTACACATATGTAATTTTGGCTTTATAACTTGCGAGGTTGATTGTTTTCGTTCCGGAAAGGTTTCAGGTTGTTTTGGACTCTTTCGTTCTTGGTTTAGAAGTCTAAGTAGGAAATGTTGACCAAATTTTGATTTTTGTGAAAACAACCCTGGAACAGTGTTTGTCCGGAATCGAATTCGGTGGTACGGAATGTTGATTTGTATTGTTTTGCCGAAAGTTGGCAATTTGAGGTTTAGATGATTTCTCAAGTTGACTGTAGGGTGACTTTTGGCTATCAGGCGGGTAGAGGTAACCCTAGAGGGGGAGGCCATGCTCGTTTCTATGCTTTTCCTAGTAGGACGGAGGCGGTTGCATCGGATGTTGTCGTTACAATAATTAATTCAAGAGTATATAATTAACTACAATAGTATACTACTATTTTTTTTTGTTGAAGAAATGAACCAATCCTCTAAATACCAAAATAACATATTATATACCATTTTGGTTAATTCAATAGTGTCTAATTTATTGCGTTGAGCTGGCGAAGAAGAATTTGTACTGTATACCAAAATGATATACTATATACCATTTTGGTATATAATTCATTCCACTAATATACTATTATAGTGTACTATATTATGTAACGGTATACTCTTACAATTAGGTCCTTTAAGAACTTTTTGAAATTTTTATTGACAACTGATATTATTTCTGTTTAATAATTGAATTTAAAAAATCTTTTTAAAACTCTTTGCGTACAATTGTATACCCTGTTGGTATAGCTATATACTATACTGGTATCACATGTTAGTTTGTTACATTATTTTAGTTGTATTAGCTATATTTAATTGGTACACTATTTGATTTTCCTTAGTAATAGTAGAATAATACAATATCTTGAATTTTTTAAATTTTCCTTTATGCATGTGTATTATGTAATCATTTTGATTTTTTCTTTATGCGTTTGTTTTATATAATAGTACAATATCTTGAAATACATAATTATATTAATATGGATACACTATTTTTGATTTTTCTCTTTGTGCATGTGTATTATGTAATAGTAGTATAGTCATATATAGTTGCCTGGAATTAATTAGTAGAAATGTATACCCTATTGGTATAATTATATGTCATATTGGTATCATATGATAGTTGAAATATTTTTTGGTTGTTTTAGTTGTATTTTTAAGTGAATTCTATTCTAAAATGATTTATATAATCATGTTTTGCTGTGTTGGATTTTCTTGTACCTATGGACATAGATTTTGTGTATTATGTAATAGTTTTTATATTTATATGCAGTTGTTGGAACAACCCAGTACAACTATATACCCTATTAGTATAGCTATATATAATATTGGTATCATATACTAGTTGAATCATTTTTTGGTTGCATTAGCTGCATTTAATCGGTACACTATTTGATTTTTTTTTAATAATAGTAATATAGTACAATATCTTGAAATACTTTATTATATTAATATGTGGTACACTATTTTTTTTTATTTTTCTCTTTATGCAAGTGTGTTATGTAATAGTAGTATAGTCATATAGTTGCCGGGAATTAACCAGTAAAACTGTATAACATGTTGGTATAGTTATATGCCATATTGATAACATATGGTAGTTTGAACATTTTTTTGGTTGTTTTAGCTGTATTTTTAAGTAAATTCTATTATGAAATTATTTATATGAAAATGATTTGTAGTGCTGGAATTTTTTTGTGCCGATGGACATAGATTATGTGTATTATGTAATAGTTTTTATAGTTATAGGCAATTGTTGGAACCACTTCATACAACTATATATCCTGTTAATATACAGAATGAGCAAGTTGCTTTGCGAATATTTAGCTTGCAATGCGAGCATATAATTTTCTCACTTTTATTGTATCCTTTAATGTTTTGGTACAGTAGTATAGTCGCAGATAGTTGTAGCAATATTCTAGAGTAATCATATACTCTATTGGTATACATGTATACCATATTGGTATCATATGATACTAGAAGTCTTTTTTGCTACTTATATTTTTATTGCATTTTCTAATATTTTATTATCATTTATATTATAACTAGTATATATGGAGATTTGGTGGCCGTAGATTATATTTTTTTGCTTCATAACTGGTTTTGTTACTGCTAATGGTAGATTGTGTAATGATATTTGTAGGGAAGGAGATCAAGGTTTGCATGGCAATCACGTGGAATTAGAAAAGGAACAAGAAATAAAGAAAATAAATAATAAATAATAATAATAAAGAAGGAGTCAAATTTGAGTGTGAAATAAGTTACGGTAAAAATAACAATAATACGATTTGGGCAAAAATAAATGAATAAAAGAGAAAAAGAAAAAATAAGAAGAAAACGAGAAAAAAGAAAAGGAGAAAAGAAAGAAAAAAAGGAAAAAAAGAAAATAAGCATAGACATAAAAAAGAATTGGAGAAAAAAGAGAAAATTCCCCGCAAAAACTATTATGGGTAGGAAATGTAATTAGTTTGATGGGTAGAAAATAAAATGGGTAGGTAAGAGTAAATAGTTTTGTTTTTGTGGGTAACTATGTTATTTACCCTTTTGCGAAGGCATACCAAATGCTCATAGTCGGACTAAGTTGTGTCCAATTAGCAACACGACAATTTATATGAGTAAATAAATAGCGCAAATATTGTTCATATTCATATTTATATTTATAAATATCGCTCTTTACGGTTGTGCGAGGAAAACCTTTATAAGTAGGATTATAAACTTTTCTAATATAATACACAAAGTGAGGGTTAGAAGGAAAACTATAGGGTAAGCACATAGCAGTAACCATTTTTGCCAATTCTTCCCGATCTTTTTTTGGATCATAATATAAAATACTACCGGTAACAATGTTAGTTCTCGGTTGAAATTGATTTGACCCGGTACTAAGGTCAGTCTGACTAGGTACACTCCCCCCCTTTTTTAAATCCACTAGGCGGTGTGCTTAGGGCTAGGTTTTATATATAAAAATAAAAAAAGAACAAAAAACAAAGTGTCAGGAGGTCTTAGACGATGAAAGTAATAAAATTTGAAGAGTACATAGTTCCTATTATCATTGTTGAGTAATGAACTCAACATTGATATCACATTATGCAACCTATAAAGGAACTGATTTATAAAAACTAGCCATGAAATGTCTTTGCTGTTGAAGCTCAGATGGGATCTTCTTTTGTGGCGCGTTTTATCATATTCCGAGTGGTGAATCAACTGTGAGAAGAAAGAATCCAGTATCATGCCTGTCTAACTTGTTTTTATGTCTGCATCTGCATTTTCTCTTGAAACCAGAAATGTATTTGCTTTCTCCAAAATTATGGTACAACTATACTCACCTCTCAATGCCTGTAACCGCTTACGAGCATGTGTGAGCATACACTTTTTGTGGGGAAAATAGTGTGATCTGTGATTTTGCCCGCGTGTGCCCTGTTTGAGCATGTGATCGTGTGATCTCCAGCATCCCTCAGTGTTAACAATTCCAGGCATTATTCTCCATGCATCCATGCTTGTGCCTACTATTAATACACCTTCAAGATTTTGAAGTTGTAGCAAATAGTAGGTCATGGATACAATATCATTCCTGATTTTGCATTCACTTATGCATGACCTCATTCTGTGTTTTGTTGAAATCTATGTATGGAATCCCTCCTGGGCTGTCCTACCATTATGTCGCATTGATATATACACCCAGTTTGGATCAAATGAGTCCGAGATATGTTACCAAACAAGCCATGTTGATTGCACTGTCCAATATTGCTCCACTATGCTGTTTTTGTGTCCAAATTTGTGTGCATCCCTTGTATATTTACTTGAAATCTTTGCATGATTTGATCTCTGTGTTGTTGCATGAGAATGTTGCATTGAGATTATACATATCAACACATCCATTTTACCCAGCAAAATTCGCCAACTCTAACTGTTTGAATGAACTTTCATTTGTAAAAATGGGCAACAATATCATACGAAAATATTTAGCTTTATCTTGAGGGTGTAGCAATAT